GTTCTCTCGGTATTCTCTCGAATGTACAGTTGCCTTTCATCTTAAACACATATTTTATTACAGTTCTTTCCTTTGTTGCGAGCAATGCCGATACCTTTTACCACCTTTAATATATATGTATATATAGATATATATATATATATATATATATATATATATATATATATATATATATATATATATATATAATATATATATATATATATATAAATATATATATATATATATATATATATATATATTAATATATATGTATATATAGATATATATATATATATATATATATATATATATAAATATATATATATATATATATATATATATATATATATATATATATATATATAAACTCCTGGATAAAATTAGCGCACCACTCATATTTTCTCAATACTCTTTATTTATTGATAATTTACTGTACGACAAGTTGCATATGGACATTGTTTGACAGTGACAGTTATTATGTAAACTAATAATAGTCTTGTTTTAACAATAATTTGTATAAAACTTCGTTTTAGATTAAAAGTGAGTTAAACTTTTAATAAAAAGTGCCGATTAAAGCAAAGTGCTTGTGAGAAACAAGTTTTTTATTGTGATATTTTTCATCACATGCATGTTTGGAAGTTCATTTGCATAAAAATCAAATAAAAAAATTAACCACCAAAAAATTTGTCAATGGTGGAGGCAGTGCGAGTATCGACTCTCCTACATGAAGGATATTTAATGCGATACGTTGCAGGTTTGTTAGGAAGACATTATTCCAGCATCAGTCGCAAGGTGAGGCGATATAATGAAACAGGGTCGTATCATCTTAGACCAGAGCAAGGACGAAAACGTTACACTAATCAAATTGATAATCGTTTTTTGAGACAACGTGCTCTCAGATATAGGAGACTCGCCAGCAATTTGCTAAAAAATGAACTAGCAGATGTTCGAAATGTCGCGATATCGTCTCGAACAGTTAGAAAAAGTTTACATGAAGCAGAATTAAGCAACAGGAAACCGGCCAAAAAGTCCTTGCTTCCCAGAGAATACAGGGTTCAGAGATTGAATTTTGCAAGATTGCATCAAAATTGGGCCATCGATGATTGGAAACGAGTTCTTTTCTCCGATGAGACTAGAGTAAGCCTAAAAGCTAGAGATGGTCGTGAACGTGTCTGGCAAAAGCGAGAAGAAAGGTTTTCCAGCTGCAATATCTCCCCTAAAGTACCTTTTGGTGGTGGCTCTAAAATGTTTTGGAGGAATTGGTTTTGAACCTCGTGCGGAGTTGGTCCCCATACGCACTAGGTCTACAAATGCCCATTATTACTTAGACAATATTATTATCAAATATGTAATGCCTTTTGCTCTGTTTCGTGGACCTATTTTTTTATTCATGCAAGACAACGCTCGTCCTCATGTGGCTTGACAGGTGAATTGGAGCTCGACAGCTCCAATTCGCTACCTAAATAATATTGAAATTCCTTTATTAGAGTGACCACCTAACAGTCCGAACATGAATCCTATAGAGCATCTATGTGACTATCTAAAAAAAAGATTCTAAATCGTAGACTCCCTATTGCCAATCACAACCAACTTATTGAGGATGTTACTGAAGAATGGGAGAATATTTCGCAAGCTTTTATTGAACATTTGATATCAAGCATGTCTCGACGCATAAATGCAGTGATATGAAGTAGAGGAGGGCCTACATGGTATTAGTGTTGACCCAGATGCATTTTATATTGTTACTTTACTGATTTTATTCTTTTTGCAATTTGAGTTATGCTAGCTTATTTGGGCATTTCCGGCAAAAACAAATTTTTAAAGAAACAATAAGGCAAATTAAGATCATGGTGGACTTATTTGTAGGTGTTTATTATTATTTCAATGTAACTTAGTTTTATTTTGTATTTATATTGTCAATAGTTAGATTAATTAAAGTGGTGGGTTAATTTTGTCCAGGATTTTTTTTGTGATTTGATTTACTTATATATAATTTGTTTGCTTTTTCGTTTTTAAGGCGCCTGTTCAGTCCTTAGAACAATTGGCGAGACAGTCAAGAATTAACTACACAGTCGTAAAAAACTCACAAACCCATAAATACTTTATTAACATGAAATATGCTGAAGACATTCTTTATAAGTAAGTATTAATTATTGTGGTGCATGTTCTACCAATGCTGTAATGTAAACATAGCAAGTGAGTGGGGAGTTGGAAATAAGGGCTAAGTAGCATAGAAAGATAATAATTATTCAAAATAATTATATATTCCGAATTAAATAAGGGATAATTAATACAGTTAACTTATACATTCAAATTATACAAAGTATAATAATTTGACCTAGTTTGATACAAGCACGAATGTTTAAGAATTACGAAATCAGAAGACCTTCATGAAAAGTAATACAACGAAGCGACACACCATCACATGTTACATTCCAACACGTAGAATAGTACAGCAGAAATAACAAAACAAAACTAAGAATGTTGCGGGACATAAAAACTGAAAAACTTGGTCAATCGAGTCAGTGGTAGTACGGGGAGCACTCAAGGCAGTAATTGCTGAACTCCGGCTCGGACGCGATAGCGTCCAGTACGCGATCAGTAATGGGCGGTCAGTAACAGCGAGTCAGTCAGTAATAGCGGCGCACCGTGACTGCCCGCTCTGGCAGTATTGCCGGCATCGGGTAGGACGCGATAGCGTCCTGTACGAGGCAGTCGGTATTTCTCCGGGGAGTGCTTACACCGGCATAGTATCTCGTGTAGTCCGGTTATTGTGGCAGCTCGTAAGTCCGTAACACAGGAGGATACCCTCAACTGACCGAGTTCCAGAGGACCGAAACGTGTCGTGGTTGAAAGCCTAAATACACATAAGGTAACAGATTTCTATATACTAACCTGAGTAATTATATTAGTACAACTGTCAACTCTTCACTATCTTGCTTCTCGCCTCCCTATGCGCAGAATAACGTGTTGTATTTGTAACTTCAGGGTAAATTCAATATATTGTAGACTCTAAATTGGTTTTTTTAATGTTCCTTTCGTCCGACTCACTAGAGACTAAGAGAACACGAGATTCTGCTTATGCATATCTCCGGCTTCAAAAGTAAGCCCATAACCTCTGCTCGTTACAGGACCTGAGACCTAGGAGTCCTTACCCCTATCCCGAAAATCCCTTATCTTCTCGTAAATCCACGAAGACGAGCCAGCCCTCCAGACTAGTGTGACCAGTATTCCTTGCAGCCGCTCGCAGGGTTAGCATCCCTTGATGATCTATAAAGTATTACATTTGGCGACAGCGTTTTCCCTACCTTCACATAACACCCATTTGTATAACATTACAGTGGTGACAGCGGAGTCGCCTCCCGTATTACAATGCATAGATATAATAATATACACACAACCAAACTTATATGGAATGATCTGATATTTCTTATTATTTTAATCGAATTAAAAAAACAAAGAATAGAAATTTATTGAAAATCCTTTGTAAAAGGTATATATTTAAGACAAAACGGGCTAAGTTAAGCAGACAAAACGTTTTCGGAATCCATATTCCATCATCAGTTTCTAAGCATACATGAATGTAGCCACTAAATATATGGATAAAAACCCGTTAACAATTAAATAATTAATTTAGTTTAAAAAATTTCTTATAATGATTTAAGATGTTAAAGTTACCTTTGGATTAGGTAACAAGGCGACATATGACTCCACGTTGAAGTTGCTAGTCCTGAGACAGAGTGTCTACGAAGACTGTATGGGAGCAACTCTTAGTTGCTCTTAGAGTTGATCTGAATTGGTTTCGAAAACTATTTTACGGATTTATTATCAGATGTCGCTATTGCTTCCATATCGAAGCCATTTTAATGTTGCTTCTTAAAGACAGAAAAGATTTATTTTTCACGTTGAGAACGCCTATGAATGGCTGTTCTGATGAGGCCTATTGGGCCGAAATGCGTATAAACAGATACATAGACGCTTTGTACGTGAAATCTAATCTTTGCTATCTTTTTCATTTCAAGATATGTTTTAGTTTTCATTATTTGTGAAATATTAAATAAAGTATGTATATTGAGCCTCAGATTTGTTCTTTGATGAAGATATATAGATGATGCGTTAGTTCTCTACAGGGCCTCAGGGATCGGAGTTAATAGAAACTATTCTAACAAACATCAACGATAAGGAATAATCAATCAAAGCTACTACAGAAAAGAAGTATAATAATAAAAATAAATAAAAATATAATAATAATATATGGCAGAATTAGTGGTTACCAGAAGAGTGGCTGAAGGGTATAATATCTCCGTATAATATCTCCGTTGCATAAAAAGAGTGATTAACTGAAGTGTAAGAACTACAGAGGCATTACTCTCTTAGCATCTGCGCATAAAATCTTCGGCAATGTAATATTTAAAAGACTTAAACATTTTACATAGGATATTGTTGGTCAATATCACTGTGGATTTACTGCTGGAAAGTCCACTACACATCAAATTCAAGCACATAGGCAGATTCTAGAAAAGTCACTAGAATATAACATAGATATACACCACCTCTTCATTGACTTCAAAGCAGCCTATGGCAGTGTGAAAAGAACTGCATTAGACCTGTTGATAACAACTAAGTTGTTATCAACAGGTCCTCGAAGACACTTCGTCTCAGGACCATTTTACCTATGTAGGGTCATACGTCGCCATGTTACCAATTCCAACGGTAACTCAAACATCATAATTTGTAACAACATATTATGTAAATCAAATGTAAATTTGTATCATTTAAAGGGTTTGGACCCATATATTTTGGTGGCTCATAGCATGTATACCTCGTTTGCACTGATGATGGATTTAATAATCCGAAAACGTTTTGCAATATCTTTGTGATAGCCCGTTTGGGCATTTTATTATATACCTTTTATAAAGGATTTTAAATAAATTTTTATATATATATATATATATATATATATATATATATATATATATATATATATATATATATATATATATCTGTATTGTTTTAGGATGTGGAAAGAACTAACTTTGAACGCCTCAATAGACGACGGTAGATACAGAGTATGGGACTACCCAATCAAAGAACAATACGGCCACATTCTTTTAGCAATAAATGATTCCAATCCCGTAGAAAATGCAGCAGAAGGATTTAGCAACGTAAATGAGCATTTAGATGCTGATTACGCTTTTATACATGATTCTAGTGAAATTAAATATGAGATTAGCAAAAATTGTAATCTTACAGAAGTTGGTGAAGTGTTCGCTGAAAAACCTTATGCTGTTGCTGTACAGCAAGGAAGTCATCTTCAGGATGATATTAGTAAAGTGTAAGTATTTAATTTGGTTAAACTATAATTAAATAATAAAAAAAATTTTAATTAGAGTTATTAAATAATACGTTAGGTCTATCCTGATAAATGAAGTTGAAGCCTGGTTGCTAAAATTAAGTACCATGGGACGCTTACAAGGCTTTTGAAATATAGGTCTATCGTAAAATGCTCAGAATATTTAAACACACACAAAACGAATCAAGCAATACGAAACAAAATAATAAAATAAATTCGTTGCAAAACAACTGCTTTACTAATCATACAGATGCTATTTGGCAGAAGATTCTAATTTATTATGGGCGACAAAATAAGTAAAGAAAGAAAACTGAACAATGGGCTCCCACAGGCTTAGTTCTTGCATCACTGCTTTTTAATATGTACATCTGGGATAAACTAGCGCGCTGATAAGCGCCTCTTTAGCTACTGCATGGTTCTTTTCTTCCCTTAGAGATGAAGCAACCCTATTACGTAGATGGCCGAGGGTTATTTTCGGACGGAAGATGTAATAAATTAAATTTTAACGCTGTAAGTAGAGTATTTCATGTAAAATAGTGTATGCATCCCAGTATTAAGAAATGCGATAAACTAGATGAGACCTCAAAAGTTAGTCTTTTGAGAATGTTTTATTTCAAGTGTTCGGGATTAAAATAAATGGTTTGGCGAACACGTATGGAGATTAAGGCAAGTGTCATTATCATGACAAACAATTAGTACTCCCGTACTCAATTGAAAAATTGAGGCTAACCATCAACTACCTATACACCAAGAAAAGCTTGATATCGAAATAAACAGACTGCGCTCCAGATATCCTCCATTGCTAAAAGCCAACTCCTTACATCAGGAACATTTCAACCTGACCAAAGCTTGGAGAACACAATGGGAGAGCGACTCACCACAGGAAGCACATCAAATGGCCTGTATCGATCAGAAACCGCCAGGCTTTAAACTGACCCGCAATACATGGACAACAGAATAAATGACAGAATAAATGACAACAGAATAAATGCTAAACAGAATAAGAACAAGCAGCGGTAGATGTGCTGACAGCTTATATAGATGGGGAAAAGCCCTTACTCCTGAGTGTGACTGTGGTGCGCAACGACAGACCGTCCGTCACATTGTTGAAGAATGTCCCCGAAGGCGATTCCGTGGAGTTTTCGATGAGTTCCTGAATGCGACCGAAAATGTTTTACATTATATTAATAATACATTAGATGTTCGTTTGTAATACTTCATGTAACGTTTTTTATATTGATTTTTTTTATTGTGTGTTCTTATTGTATGCCATACGATAAATAAATAAAGTACTCCAGTTTTACCGTTGGGATTTGAAGAAGATAATTTAAATATATAATGAAGTAATTAAAAGATATCTAAATAAAGAAGGTCATATATTTAATAAAATAATAAAAATATTAAAATTAAAATATTTAAATACATATTAAATACTTTCCCAAACTTTCTTTCCCTCTAAAATCGAATATTTTAAGTGCAGCTGAAAGTATGAGAGTAAAAGATATACATGAAAAGATAGATATAATAATAAAAAACGAAGTAAAAATAAAATATAGATTGACAAATAAGCCGTGTGCATATTTTGACCACCGGACATTTTTCGACGCTATATAAAACTGCCCTCAGATGAACATTGTGTACAATGCCGCCAGTTAAGAAAAATAGAGTCGAATCTGTGATGAACTTCTCAGGCAGACTGTGCCAAAGAGAAAGAAATACGACTGATTTCTGAATGACTAGCCTGCTTTGTACAAGGTTTGTCAAAGCGACTAGAAAAATAAAAACAGACGTCAGTCATGGAAGTCAGTCGCACGTTACTAATGGAAGGTTCCTCTTTGTCAAACGAAAAACATGTCAAAATATATTAGCCTTGAAATAGACAGGGATGGTTGCTGGCGCATTTACCTAGCGGAAAACCATCAAGCTTATAAGATAGATAAGCTCTGACTGAAAAGAGCGAGTAGATAATAGAGAATCACTTTCTAACAAACCGTTGTCAATATAGAAAATGTCGCTGAGCGTTTGTGAGGCAGTAGGAAAGGGTGATTCTGTCGAATTAGAGAACCCTTGTTGAGTTTTTAAAACAAAATAAAATGAAGAAGTGCCGTAAGTAACGGTGCATATAAAGGATTCTTGGAAAGATTTAGAAGAATCCGATCTTCAGAGAACTCTTTTATAGTTAGAAAATTCTTTGTTTGCCTTAATTTGTCAATATGTTTGCTTTATATCGCAAATAAAACGATAACGAATATATCGAAAATTAAATAATAGAAACAAGGTGCCCTTTTAGAACTAGTATAAAAAGTATCGACTAGCGACATACCTCAAACGTAATATGGACTGGTGTCGACGCTAGTACGATTTTTAAAGACGAATGTATGAGAATAAGTATCGAAAAGAAAAGACAAAAATAAATATTGATCATGTTGGGATAAAACTAACAGGTTTAGATATGTTCTCGACTTCCCAAAATTTTTATACAAGAAGATCTATGTTTGTATCCACATAAGTAACGGAAGATGTGAAGTAAAATTTGAAAAAACCGCAGAGACTTTCCCTTGTAGAAATTATCTTACAATGGTTTTCAATTTAGCACCTATGAGCCTGTCTATAGAATTTGGTTGAGAAAATGTGTGATCTGGTAGTTTCAGATCACGAATATTAATGAGACAGAACGTGATACCTTGAGTAGTACATATCGACATTCTGTTCGGACCTTCCACGTGTATTGATACCTAATTACGAGAAAACCCTAAATGTAAAAACACAACTGTCATAAATTCATAATTTTAGCAAATCAAAAAATATACTGTTCTGATCTCAATAATAAAATTTCACATAGAAAATTGAGCATTACTTTCCAAGACAAAACACTCCCCAATAATTAGCATCTTAAATACATGGGAACTGCAGTAAACCGTACGCCCAGAAATAATATTATTCAGAAGATTTGTGGAACAACTTCGGGATCTTCAGTAAGAGGTGACTGCACATCGTAAAATACAGCTGGAGCAATATTCAGAAACATGTCGTTGCTTCCTACATCCCTAATATCAAACAACTGTGAAACAAAAAAATGGTGAAAAAATAGATGAAAACAAAACATTGTACTCCATTCTAGTCAACTGCTTCCAAAATTTTATTTGAATCGTAATATACCGAATGGGGTAGATGTGCTGACCTCCTCACAAATTGGGATAAGAATCAGACTCACAATTGTAACTGACAAACCTAACAGACAAACCATGCGGTACTTACAATAGGTCATATGACAAAAAAAACACTTTCTGGTTTATGAAACATACATGACCGATTCAGTCAAATACACAACTCCAATAAGTCATATGTCGATGGGCCAATAATAAAGATGCGTCGTGACTTCATTTAAGTAAATAAAATTTCGGATGAATTGATGAAGAATTGTAAAGATGGGAAGCTTTTTGTCCTTCCTGAAAAGTTACATGAAAATGACATATGGCCTATTGCATATCCAGCATGGGGTGACTTTCTTGAAGTAACACCTGAAGAATTAAACAAGATACTTTGTCAGGAGATCAACGTTTAATAAATATATCCGCTGATCCAAAATTATTGTCATCATAGTGTGCTCTGAAGTACAGAGATACATCGCATGTCTATCATTAATTCAGATATACTTTTCAGTTTACGTCAACTTTGACTATGTTCAGATATACTTGTCAGTTTACGATATATTTTCAAGTTTTGGTAAAGAAAATTATATTAAAAATGGTTTTCACGGATAAACAAAAGCAATATATGCTCGAAATGTATTTTAGAAATGGTCAAAGGGTTAAGGGAGAATGCGTTTACTCAAACGAGATGATTTTGAAGATTTTGTTGAAGAACTTCGCAATGTTGCGGTTATTTACATCTATTTTGCAGAACACCTTAACTCTAAGTGAGAGCGCCCACCAAAGTGGCGTGGCAGTGGCAAGTAGCAAGTAGCACGCGTCTAGCATAATGTAACCAATGAAAACGAATGATTCAGTTTACACCAAAATGACAGTGACGTCATTCATTCTAATCATTCGTTTGGATTGGTTACATTATGCTAGACGCGTGCTACTTGCTGCTTGCCACTGCCACGCCACTTTGGTGGGCGCTCGCCCTAAGAAAACATCGATCGGCATAGAACGGTCATTGTAGATCAACCACATATGTACATCAATTCGACATTTATATCAACATGTAGATCTTTCATTTGGACCTTGCCAGCATATTCTTAAGCAAGATTTACACTTTCATCCGTATCGTTTACAAACCTTCCATGAATCACTTTAAACGACGATCCCCAAAGGCTAGCTTTCAATTGGTTTCTAAACAATCTCAATAATAATGATGATGTATTAGGCAAAACCTTTTTTACTGACGAATGTTGGTTTCATCTTTCTGGGTACACAAATTCTTCGAATATAAGGATATCGAGTGCAGATAACCCACATTATTTTATAGAGTTTGGGTTGCTATAAGCTATGGACATAATGTAGGACCAATATTTTTCAAAGGGATTCTAAATGCTAGAAGATACCTTTAAGAATTTTTTTATTTAGCTTATTGTATCTCAACTACAAGGTTATTGACCATGGCTCAATTTTGTTACTATACATTTTACATTACATTAGGTATAATTTACAATAAAGAGAATATACGTGAAAGAGAACGTAATAAAAAAGAATACACTAAATTTTGTAATACAAGTTTGTTTCTTGAAGGAAATCTAGTACATTCTTAACAAGTTCTAGTTGGCTGAGGATAATATTTGTAAGAATTTGTATAGAGTATTTTTTTTGTTTTTGCTTGTATTTGACACACTGTGTAAGAATATGTTGAACGGTTAACAACTCACTACACTTTTCACAAACAGATGATTTCTCCGAAGTCATCATGTGTCCATGTGTCAGCCGTGTGTGAATAAGTCTTAGCCTGCGAACAAGTAATTTTTCTCTTCTACTTAAGTTAGGTAGCTGAAAGGTTTCGATGGTAGGTTGTATTTTGTGTAATGTCGAGGTTGAATTCTTCCATTGGTTTTGCCAGGACTTTTTAATTTATGACCTGATATTATGTTTGTTCCAGAAGACTTGAGACAGCTTGTTGCTTCATGTATCTTCTTCTACGGCACTACAGCCCAAAATGAGCCTTGGCCTCCTTTATTTTTTGCCTCCACCCTTGTCTGTCTGTGGCTGCTCTTCTCCATACACGGACTCCTAAAAGTGCTTGTGCGTCGCTGCTTACTGTGTCTTCCCAGCGCTTTCTTGGCTTTCCAACTGGTCTCTTTCCCTGCATTCTGGCGTTCAGTGCTCGTTTTGGTAGCCTATCCTCTCCCATTCGTATCACATGTCCGGCCCATTGCAATCTTTGTATTCTAATGCTTCATGTATGGCATGAACTAATGGGTGTTCTGAGCGTAGTTTCCAGCTGTTCTCCGTGCGTAGAGGTTTTCTCCCCGGCTCTGGAACTCAATTTTTACAATGTATGTTACCTGAAGTCATATTTAATTTAATACTGAACATCACAGTTTTTTAACAACAAGATGTATAATCTTTTATAACTATATGTAATTTAAAGGGTTTTTACCCATGTATTTTTGGTGGCTCAGGCATTTTAACCTAGCGATTTTAAACCTGATGATGGACTGTTTAGTCCGAAAACGTTTGTTTTTTTGATGTAGCCCTTTTAAGGGTTTTTTAAATAAATATACCCACTTACGAAGACTAACTCCTTCTTTTGTGATACGTGGTATACAGCCAGCTACAGGAATTGTTTTCCTTGTGGATTTTATTACTTTTTTTGTTGTGTGCGATTACTTAATAAGTAACATTAAAAAAAGATCTAAGGGATGTAATAATCATAAATTCAAAACAATTTTTTATGATAGTGATATTAGTGAATCTTCAATGGAGGAATTAAAATGTTATGAACAAGATTTTTTATTGAGTTGAATGCGTCGACATCTAATGGTCATTGGCATGGTGCAGTGAATTTTTATAGTCAGGTACCTAGTGTAGAGTGTAGTGTGTGTGTAGAGTAATTGTCTTGATACTTAGCAAAGTCGACGTCATTGTCTTTGCTAAGAGACGCTAATTGTATCCGAACGTCTGCGATGTCTCCGGTGAGTACCGATCGCACAAGGATAGAAATTATTTTCATTTATTAATTTTTAATAAACGAAAATTTCTCCACCCAGGTGAGATTCGAACTCACGACCTTTAGGTTTAAAGGTAGGCGCTCTTACCACTGAGCCACAGAGGGGGTTAAACAAGATTTAAATATAAGTAAAATTGAAAAATGAAGTATTACAATTTAAGACTATTATATTTAATTTAATTCTTCCAATAATCAACGCAAGCGGTAAAAGATCAGCCTCAGTAATGGCCAGAATAAAAATTTTTGTTAAGATCCTCGTTAGGCCAACAAAACTGAATGTTTTTCTTGGAATCTGATAATTAAATATAACTACCAAATGCAAATTGGGTGTTATAAGTAAAAAATAGGCCCGGAATTACAATGTTGCCTAGGGCATGCTTTGGCCTTAGTCCGCCACTTTGTAGAGATGTTGTTGGTGGTCATATCTTCTTTGATTTTATTTATTATTGTCACTTATAATTTTGTTTTTTTTTTTATTTTTAATAAAATAAAATTCTGTATTAAAGGTTTTGCCTAATTTTTTTATGTTTAACAATGTTCACCAAAATTAATTTATCAACCAATGATACAAATTCAGATTAAAAAAAGACATACATAATGTTTTGCTTGAATAGCTTTGATGAAAATAATTGTGGATGACCCGTTATTTTGAGGTTATTTCTATTATTTTCACTCATTTTCTTTAAGTTCTCTAATCTTTTTAGGATTTTACTCCTTCAAAAAAGACGCTACTTTGAATCATTGCAAGAAAAGTATTGGAATCATTCAGCGAAAGGGGACTGTCCAAGTACTGATGATAACGAAGGAATTACTTTAGAAAGTTTAGGTACATACTTTTATATTTTTGGTAACAAATAGTAAATTAGAATATAAAAATTTCAGGCATAACTAAAACAAAAAAAAGATCAGCAGCATATATCGGCCTACAGCCTTTAAATTTTAACTTCTAGTAGTGCAACTGTATATATATATATATATATATATATATATATATATATATATATTTATATATATATATATATATATATATATATATATATATATATATATAAGAGTATCATAAATTTTAAACGTTTAGCAATAGAGCATTTAGTAATTGTTATGTTTGATTATAAATAATTAAAATTTTAATTTTAAAGTAATTCTCTAAAGAAATTAAAATATTACTTTTTTTACCTTTAGGTGGAGTATTCATAGCAACATTGTTCGGCCTCGCCCTAGCGATGATCACTTTGGCAGGAGAAGTATTTTATTATAGACGAAAGCACAAAGAAATGGAGAAACAAAAATCGTTCACGCCACAACAATCCAACAAGATCGTACCGACTATATCATCGTTTTATCCGTCTGAAATAAAACCCATGAAGGTTGCCATCAATCCGGCCAATTTCTCCTCCAAGATCAAACCAGACGAGGCATGGAATACTTCTAATCTTATTTTGTTTCCCAAAGGAAGGAATAGGGTTACAAAACTAAACTAGGACATCAAGTTATCTGACAAAATAAGCAGTACCGAAATCTAAATAATTTCTAATATCGTCTTTTAGGGAATATGTTCAATACTTGGGTAACACCGTTTGCCTAATTAAACGTCAGTGGTAGACAATGTATCTTTCTCTTTGTAGATTGTAAATATAGGATTCGTTTGGCTTTGTAGAACTTTTCACACTGCGATCTGAAAGATCTGTTATGTACCCTACTCCTATTTTACTGACTTTTGGATAAATCGCGCATGCTGTCGACCCTTTTTGAGTCGAATCATTACTTTAACAAGTATTCATACTTTTTCCTCGCTGAGCCACTTTTAAGCAACTTTTTCGATCTTTCGAACGTCATTATTTCTGGGTTTGCCATAAGGCTCCTTCTATTATATCTCTTCTACTCATAGCTACGCTAATTCCATTATACCATTTCCTTGGTATTCCTTTCCCTTTTCGTCTCTTAGGGTCTAGTCCCAAATTTTTATTGGTAATCTATTATCCGTCATGCTTCTTATATGGCCGTACCAAAATGGAAGGTTTATCTTTATAACATCTGTAATATGATCGTGTAATGTATAGATATCTAGATAATCTTCTCCAAAAACTGTTTTCTACTACATTTATTCATTTTTGCATATTCTTGTTTACTGTCATAACTTTAAAACGGCAAGCTACTGTCATCATCATCATCAAAAGCTATTTGTCCATCGTAGGTTGTAAACCTCCCTTAGGTGTATCCATATATTTATGTTTGTTGTTTTTTGCATCTATTCGTGACCAGCAATTCGCTTAATATCCTCAGTCCATCTGATTTGAGGTCAGCCTTTACTTCTCTTGTTTGCTCTTGTTACTGTACTTTCCACCAATGTAGTAGCTTTTTTTGTATGCTTTTATTCCATAACAATGATTTAACTGACTTTTCTGTAATATATTTTTTTCATTATTTCCATCTATAGTTAGTGTTACTTACAGATATTTGTATTCTTTAGTATTCTTAATCACGTCGCCGTCAATATTTAAATCTTGTTTGGGACAGCCAACTTCCATATGCTCCGTTTTTTCAGTATCAATTTTCACAACCCAATTATTTAGTTCTTCTACTAATGTTGTAACCAAATATATAATATCGTCAATTCAGATCTGAGTTAAGAAAAATCATAAAGAGTGTGGAGGATAGACGGCATTCGTGCTTCTGACCCATGTCAACTTGTATTCTGAACATCCTTGTCTTGTCATGAGGCAACTTGTGTTGTCTTTATAGAAATTTTTTACAAGGTTGATATATTGTGAGTGAATTATGTTTTAAGTTGTACCATAAATTTTTATTGGTACTCTATGATACGCCTTCCATAGGTCTATAAAAGCCAGACATAGTAAGCTTGTGTATGCTAGAGATTTTTTCATAAGTTGTTTTAAACAAAACAAGTTATCGATTCCAGATCTCCCTGGTCTAAAGCCGATCTGCTCTTCCCATTCTTCAAACTGATTTTCAATCTTGTCTGAGGTCTCTATAATTTATTATTTCCTTTTTTATATACAGAGTGTCCAGAAACTCTCCTGGCAAACGAAAACTGAAGATTCCTCGGATAATTTGAAGACGATTTAACCCAATTTACCTTGTTTGAAAATGCTTCCTAAAGGGGCTAGCTCTTTGAAGATGGCGCCTTGTAGCTTCTTGATAGCCAAGAAGCTCCGGACTTCGTTTGTCAAAAGAGTTTCTGGACACTCTGTATGGTACTTTTGTAAGCAATTCTCCATTCGGTTTCATGTCTCTCTATCTCTAGATTAAGTTAAGTTTTATGGGTATATATGACCAAATGATTTGTCATTTTTTAATTGTTTCAACGAGTTCTAGATTTGTTCAAAAATTACTCGTTTAGTCACACTTTCTGCTTTTTCTTTATTTCTTTTTTTCTATTAATCTTCTAGTAGTCTTTCCACTCTTCTGTACTAATTGGGTCCATCGTTATTTTTTCGTTGTTATTCTTTGTTAACGTGTTTATAGTTTTACAGGCTGTCCTTGACTTACAACTTCCCAATAATTATTCCCAATATCATTATATCTTCTTTTCCAATGGTTATTTTTTATGTTCATATCTGTTTTTTCATCATTTAACAATAATCTTCGATTATTTGTCTATCTTCAGTATCTTTAACATTGAGACATTTATAATATATTTTTTTCATTTGTTTCACAAGATCTTCTATTTCTGGATAGAGTTTAGGATGGTTGGGCATGGGAAAATTTTGACGACCGTGGGAAAGCAGCATCCTTTTATGATAGCCGATGAGTGTGACACGTGTGCAGTTAATATGTAAGATATGCTACTTTCTAAGATGATCAAAGCCCTCCTATCATTAGCGTAACTTGGCCAATTCAACATTGCGACTACCAGTTATCAACATGGCCACTTTCGTCATAGCTCGCTTAGTTTTGTTGCTAGAGACTTTTATAAAAACACAAAGATAAAGGTTTTTTAAGAACTGCAAAAAGGATTCCATAAAGGATCACGGCACTTTTCCTACGTAAAAGTGGTTTCAGTTAAATAGGCTGAAACTTTGCATAGAGGCAGCTTCGGTCATGCTGATCAAAAGTTATCATTGCACCAAGACTCAGAAATTAGCTGTTTCTGAGTTACAGAGGTTCAAAGTGTCGGTTTTTAGTATTTTTGAATAATACATATTTGTAAAATATACAGAGTTTTAGTAAATATGTGCAACTAACATCTAGGAGTGATGCTTAATAAAAAATACTGACAGTTTGCTTTATAAATGTATACACGCAAATGCTTCTTTTTCCTAGATACGGTATGTTGAAATTTTTCTTACAAACTAACGATTTATTTATTCCCTGAAAGCCTGAAACTGGTATAAGATATGCAAATAAAATTTGGTGAGTTTTCAGAGTTGGTTTTTGGGTATTTTTTACATACAATTAGTAATGTTATATTCATATCGACGCGCATACATGTATTATTCTCGATTGTTTTAAAGAAAAAAAAATGGTACGCCACTGAGAATTCTCCGATTATAAATCATTTTTGATTGTTCCTTTAATTTGTGACAAAAAATCTTTAATTTTTTTTTATATGAGGCTCTGTTTTATGCAAAAAAATGACACATCTTGTCGCGTTCTTTCTATTCCATTAATATATTCTCAAGAACTATTAGGGCGATCCGATACGTACTTAGCCTACAAAAAAAACTTGAAAATTTTGAAAAAGTGGTTATTTATTTCCCAACATAGTTTACTTTTAGCTAGATACACCCAGCGATGCTCCAACTTCTTTAAACCGTCTAAAAAATACGTTTTCTTAAGGTCTGCAAAGTAGGCTTCCGTGAAGGCGATAATCTTCTGTTTCGACTTAAATTTCTACAAAAGGAACGCCTTTTTTGTCCTTTAAGTTTGAAAACAAAAAGAAGTTACAACGGGGTCAAATCTAGAGAACACGGTGACGACGGTGGTATGAGTTCGTCCGTTTTCATGATTGAAGAGCACTGTTTTCTTCGCTTAAATGGGGTCGTCTTTTCTAGAATTCGGCGTCGAATTGGCCCAATAATTAGGCAAAGTAGAGCCCTGTGACAGTTTTGCCATTTTCTAGGTAGCTGACGTAGATCGCCACTTGTGAATCCCAGAAAATTGTTGCCATCATCTTTCTGGCTGATAGGACAGTCCTGACCTCTTTCGAAGCATGTTCGCTAGGTGCCGCCACTGTTTCGACTGTTTCTTGGTCCCTGGTACGTATCAGTGGATTTATGTTTCGTCAATGGTTTCGAAACAAAGTAGAAATTCCTTCGGATTACGCTTAAATAGCGTCAAACACTGCTCTGAAGGGGTGTGACAGTTAAGCTTGTTGTTCTGAGTGAGCAAACATGGCAATCATCGCCCCGACAGCTTTTTTATGCCCAAAATTTCACGCAGAATATGGCTTATTTAGTCTTTTAAGATGCCTACTGTCTCAGCTATCTCGCGTACCTTTAGTCGGCGGTCTGCAAATATGAGCTCATAAATTTTTATCACGTTATCCTCCGTGGTTACCGATTTTGGGGCATCTAGGCGTGGCTCATCAAAAACCGTCAAGCACGTGCGATGACGATGAAACTCCTTAAATCAATTTTTGAGGGTTGCCGTGTTGACAAGCGTTACCATACACAGAATCCAAGCGCTTCTTTGATTCCTTTGCGCGATTTCGCTTGCAAAAATATGAATCGAATCACCAACTGATATTGCACTTTTCATTTTTCTAAACTCTGCGGACAAGCAAGCTTTATTGCAATAAGAATTTATTACGCGATTTGAGATTTAACAAAAATTAAAAAAAAACTACTTTTACATAAGTATATATAAAATGTTTGTTTTACTACAACTCCTTCATTTACTTACGCTCCTAACTGCCGACACAAAACTTTTAAACAACAAGAAATTTAAAGAAAATAAACAGAGAAGTTCGAATAGGTACAAAGTTCAAAGCACGTGGTGGTCGTGTGTATTAAGGTATAAAAAAATGCTTATTAAAAGCTTAAAATTTTTATTTTAAAGATCTTTTCGGAATTGACTCATTCCATCATCAGTTTAATAAAAAGTTGTCAAAAAAACATTGTATGGCCACATGAAAACATAGTAGAGAACTCCGTATTAAAAAACTATCCTCAAGGTGTTTATGAAGGTAAATGCAATAGACTGTTGATTTGTAGATTACTAAAAACTGAAAATGGGGGCTCCAGTTAGCCGGTTAACTGGAGTTAGCCCTAGACTCCAGCACAGATCAGAGGTAATGTAAGTCAATAAAACCTCACCAACTACAGGGGGTCATGTAAGATGCCCCCATTTTCAGTTTTTAGTAATCTACAAATCAACAGTCTATTGCATTTACCATCATAAACACCTTGAGGATAGTTTTTTAATACGGAGTTCTCTACTATGTTTTCATGTGGCCATACAATGTTTTTTTGACAACTTTTTATTAAACTGATGATGAAATAAGTCAATTCCGAAAAGATCTTCTTTAAAATAAAAATTTTAAGCT